GGTGGGTGAGTTAGTGGCTGAAGCCGGCATACCCGCTGCGGTCTCATTGACCGAGTAACCGTGTACGTCCTTGGTCTGATACCGGGACTCGCTGTCTCACAGCTTGATCGTCACACGTGAAAACAGAAGACATAGCAAAGTATTTCCATGACATTTGTGCCACATATACAGACCCAGACACCCGTCTCTTCGTCTGAGATGAGGGTAAGGAACTTAGCCCTCACCAGTTGTTCAACAATAGGGACAGTCGCGACAGATGGTAGAAATTAACATGGATTCTTCACACTCATCTAGTTGGTTAGTCATCGCTGGGACTCTGTTACACACAATGGCTGTCCAGAAGTGGGTAATGCCCACGCTTAACCTAAAGAAGAGATCTTCCATTAATTATGACAAAAATTCACTATACCATCGAGATTACTATAATGTGCTGTTTGTCTCCCATTTTTCCGTTTTTATACATCATCAGCTCATTACGTTAAATACTTATTTTATGCATTCACTTAAGCGAAGGCCGTTAAATTGATGAACGAACGTTCTTGTATAAGTCAAGTTGGTGATTGTTATATAATAAATTTACGCATAATTTATGCGATTTCCCCTTGTTTGTATAATTGAGCCTTAACAGGTTTATGTAAGTCAGATTGTTGTTCGGACTTGCCTTAAGGCAGTAGTGTATAATGGTTAGCAGTCGTCTATTCAAAAACATCGGACATCCTACTTAGTACCCAATTAATTTTCCCTACTAAGTAGGGAAAGGTACCATATTTAAATCTTGAGCCTGCTGTAAAATTAAGCCTAATTTAAAGCACGTAATGTGTGGAAGATAAAGGCTTGTCCGGGCTCGAATTTGACATAATCAGAGGAAATTTAATTTGGTAGGCTGTGTAAAAGAGACTATTGCTTACTCTGCCGATGACCAAGGAAAGCTGAATACATGCAAATAATATACTTCTAATGCCAGAAAAAAGGAACCCATCTGCTCGATTCGGTTGCAAATATGTAGCTGATTGGTACGTTGCTGCATGCATTATTAGCCTTCGACAGTTCAGTAGCTATAAAAATGTAACGCAAGAGGCCACAATAGAGCCGAAGTATGGGTGTACATCATACAGACTTAGCTAGATGGGATTTTACCCTAATTAGATCCCTCATCAGTCTTTTATTTTTTAATATCTAGGTGTGAGCTATTTTGGCATCCACGTACCTACTGGGTAAAAAAATCCATCGAGGATTTTTTTCATCTGGCCAATACTTTTCGTCTGTACGTAGCAGTTGTATGTCTTCCTTTTTAGGTGTCATTTTCGTGGCTGTTGCTTTCGGTTTGGCAGCCAGCGGAGCTGGGGAAAAGGGTGTGCCCTTTCTGGAATTTTGTGCCTCCCTTGCTGATGTCGTGCTCAAGCTCATTCGTGCCTTCCTCCTGTAAATTCTCAAGCATTTTCATTGCTATTTTAAGGCCTCCACGCAACTTAAATACCTAATATAAAACTCATCTTAGCAATAAGAAAGCACAAGGAAGCGGGGCTAATCAACCATTTCTCGATTGTGATTTACCATCCTTTATATTCGGGTAACTTCCATTAAAATTCCAAACACGCAAGTCTTGATCTACAATTGCACCTCGTTAATATAAGTAAAATTGCAATTTTTATCGGTACCGAAACCATTTTCAAGCAAAATTTTGTCATTAAAGGAGTTGCCGTCAGTGCGTTTGCGTTTTGACGCATGCGATTTCGAGAGGCCTATATTTATGTGTTTAACACACGTATGCATAATGACGAGAGAAGTTAGGATATTTAGCACCTTCATTAAACGTCATGCGTACAAAAGTTGTCTACTCTGTTCTTGAATAGTAATGCAAAGTAATTTCATCCTTGAAAATGTACCCTTGTCCAACATAGTAGTCCGAAACCTTAAACACACATTTAATATTAATTATTGTCCACTCGTCTACTCAGGGCTACGCCTGTCGGTGTGTGCTTCATGATTGCTGGCGCGATAATCAAAGTTGACGACATAGCAGGCACCTTTGCCAAACTGGGAATGTTCATAGTCACGGTTATCGTTGGAATTGCCGTCCTCTTCATACTTACCATACTCGTCTACGTCATTGGGACACGCAAGAATCCCTTCGAGGTCATCCCCCATTTGATGCAAGCCTGGTTCCTTGGTTTTGCTACGACAAGCGCGTGAGTTTTACTAATAATGAATTAAACGCCCTTTGTGCTTCATGAATTGCAAGTCTGGATTTTACGACTCCTATCTTCCCACCACCACTGAGGCAGGGAATCAGTTATAACCAGAAGAACAAAGGGAATGTTGTGGGGCTGTTATTTGACCGATTACGTAGCGGGCGTAGACAAATCAAGATTGTCTGTACTGTACTGTACTGATTGTCTGTACTGTTTGTACTGATGTTTTGTGTAGAGATTTATCTCCAGGGCGAGACTGTGTACTGAGGTCAGTATGGTTGAAGGCGTAAAATTTGCAAAAGCTTTACCCATCATTGTGTGACCAGCTGCCTCAAAACCTTAGCCTCTAATTCAACCATTTAAACACTTACTTCACAGCCAATTTTGATCTCAATCCATATCAAGGTTTCTTCACCTTAAGTCAGAGAATATGCGTCCGTTGAAGTTGAAAATCCTGATACTTCACTTCTTTCCGGATGCGTGTTTCTAAATACTCACTGGACAGTTAGCATATACTAGTAATTTTCAAAGAAAACATTTCTCATTAAAAAAATCTTTGAAAATTAAAGTTTTTTGCAGTTGGTCCTGGTTAAATATTTGCTGTTAATTTTTATCTAAAATCATTTCTATCAGTAAGCTTCTAGTCTTAAAGACAACATTTTGCACGTTCATCAGTAGCTCTCTCAACACACAATCATTTTCTAAGTGGATTTCTAAATTTTCTCATTTTTTCCTGAGCAAAAGAAGTGCTATTTTGTTGAATGATGGAATCATAAAATGTTCAATAGATTGCGATCGAAATAAATCCAACATGTATATCATTCGGTTTTGTGACAGGTCAGGATAAAGGACTACCAGCAATGTTTGAAACTGGCAGCGTTTGGATAATAAATGAGAAAAACTACGCATTGAATTCCGATCACATGTTATTTAGTTCGAATTTCAGGAACCTCCCACAGGTGGCCATACCAACAATAACTTAACTTACGTATCTCAGCTAGGTACTATCAGGCTCTCATTGACCGGAAAGCTGGAGACAATATAGTTAGTTTTTTAAACTTTTTCTCATCAGTTCAACTTAAAAATCAGCAAGACTTAGATAAAAAGTTTTCTAGGGCTCTTACATTACTGCGTATTTTACTAGCAATAGAATCGCATGAATAGAATGACATGTGCACATAACAATGTTAAGCAGTCTGTCTAAAACGATTGAAGTAAATTTGTTTGGAAGCTGTTCACTTGCATGCACTGGTTTTATCTGCCTCTCTCCAGCATCGTGACTGTTCCGGAGATATATGCGGGCTGTGATGCTCTGGGTGTCCGTAAAGGCCTTTCTCGATTCGTGGCTCCTCTGGCTGCAACATTAAAAGCCGACGGATCTGCTTGCTTCATTTGCAGCGGATCCATTTTCATCGCCCAATTGTCGAACGTGACCGGTTCGGGCACCATAGTGGTTATTTGGTAGGTTTCAGCCTTGTTTCACTTTATAGTTCAACACAAAAGCAATCTAGAAACTCCGATAGTATTCGAAAGTCCTCACTTTGCAAGATGGAAGTTTGACTTTTCTGTCATTAATATCGAGCTTTACTGAGTGAAAGGCAGACTTCTTTTAGCATTCAGCCTATACTATTCTCGTACACATCTGCTCTAATGGGTTTTTGAGGCGTTTATACATTCAAATGCATTTTAAAGAAATTCATCCTTTTTACTCGTTTGTTGGCCCATTGCCTTTTCTTCAAAGTCAACAGTTAAACAAACACTGACGTTCAATTTTAACAAATCTATTCCAATTCCCAAATAATCTTAAAGAAGAACTGTCAGAATTTCCAAAGTACATGATGTATAAATTCTATCTAAGGAAGGTCACACATTCTTTCCACGCTATTTAGGAGACGTTATACATTGGTCCAAAAGTTTTACAGTACATATGGACCATATTGCATGCTTCATAAGCAGAGATAATACATGCACAGATATGTTGCTTTATGAATGGACATTTCGCTGTCTTGAAAATATTAAATTATAGAACTATTTTAAAAACAGAAAACTACATTTTCTTCAAGCATAAAATTAGAAGGAAACATAAGTTGGTACAAAAAGAGTGTACAATAATACTAGGCATTCATTTATGGAAAATATATTTGAAAACATAATGGCATTGAAAAGCAAGAACAGAAATATCTACTACATCAGGAACCATTTTACAGTGCTCAGCTGGAAAAATACCTTTTCAGAAGCCAACATTCTGACATGAATGAAGTAACTTGAGGTTAAGTTGCGCGTTCATCAATATTAAAACATTTCAGAAGATAAGTTGGCGAACATACGTTTGTTTTCGATAAATTCTCATC